CCCTTTGAGAGGTTGCATGTGTGTTGGGGTGACGGGAAACAATTGAGTAAAAAATTGCATTATTTTAAAATAGACATAGTCATAGAGTGATCTGGCTTTGGAAACTTAAAAAATTAGCAAATGAGATTACCCAGATAAAATTTTATGTAGTGATTTAAATAGTTGTTTCATTTTTATATAGCTAATTACAAAATCTAGGTTAATAAACCAAGATGTCAAGTATGGGGTTACTGGAGTGTTTGTGTTCTTAATTGTAGCTATGAAATAAACTATATTAACACTTAAGAAAAAAATTCAACATGGCAACTTTATTATCATGCAGTTACTTCATGAGTTTGGCAGGAGAAAAGAAGATAAAGTATCACATGACTGACGTGTGACATTTTATTTGTTTTGGTTATGGAAAAAGAACTGCTATTTCATTTTCCAAAAGATGATTCCATCATTTCACAGGGTTTTTTTTTTTTTGTTTTTTTTTTTTTTGGTTTTTTTGTTGTTGTTGTTTTTTCCTTACATTTGGAGGCTTGGGGTAAGTGCACTGGGTTGAAGCTATAGTCTTACTGCCGCCTCTTTATTTAAACAGGCATTGGAAAAGTGAAAAGAAAACCTAGCGTTCCAGACACTGCATCTCCTGCTGATGATAGCTTTGTTGATCCAGGAGAACGTCTCTATGACCTCAACATGCCTGCTTTTGTGAAATTTAACTACATGGCTGAGAGAGAGGATGAATTGTCATTGATAAAAGGGACCAAGGTGATCGTCATGGAGAAATGCAGTGATGGGTGGTGGCGTGGCAGCTACAATGGACAAATTGGATGGTTTCCTTCAAACTATGTAACTGAAGAAGGTGACAGTCCTTTGGGTGACCATGTAGGTTCTCTGTCAGAGAAATTAGCAGCAGTTGTCAATAACCTAAATACAGGCCAAGTATTGCACGTCGTACAGGCTCTTTACCCATTCAGCTCATCCAATGATGAAGAACTCAATTTTGAGAAAGGTGATGTAATGGATGTTATTGAAAAGCCGGAAAATGACCCAGAGTGGTGGAAATGCAGGAAAACCAATGGTATGGTTGGCCTGGTGCCCAAAAACTATGTTACCATTATGCAGAATAATCCATTAACTTCAGGTTTGGAACCATCACCTCCACAGTGTGATTATATTAGGCCTTCACTCACTGGGAAGTTTGCTGGCAATCCTTGGTATTATGGCAAAGTTACCAGGCACCAAGCAGAAATGGCATTGAATGAAAGGGGACATGAAGGAGACTTCCTCATTCGTGATAGTGAATCTTCGGTAAGTTGATTTTCAAAGGTAAATGGAAATAGAGCTCCAAGCATTCAAAAATAAGGTTGAATAGGTTGAATGGCCAGTTTCCTTAAACCTAACTAAGTTGTAAGGTGGGAAGGACATGATCATAGATAGTGTTTTTTCCAGTATTCCTGTTTTGAATAAGATAACTGAGCAATGAATATGCTATATTAGTGGGCTTTCTTTAGTTTTATTGATTTTGTATTTTTGGAATATTTCTGTCCCATTAAACTTAAAAATGGGGGGCAAACTGAGCATTGGTTTCTTCCTTGAGAGTAGACAATACAAATTAAAATGCTACTAATATCTAATATCTAAGAATATAGTCATTGTAATCCTTACGGGAAGTCACTGACTATAAAAAAAAATTATGTGTCTTCATATATTGGTTTTTTATTTCGTTTTGCTTTTGTTTTTTGAGACAGGGTTCTCTTTGTAGCCATGGCTGTCTTGGACTCGCTTTGTAGACCAGGCTGGTCTCAAACTCATCGAGATCCGCCTGCCTCTGCCTCCCAGAGTGCTGGGATTTCAGGCATGCCACCACGCCTGGCTTCCTTCCTTCCTTCCTTCCTTCCTTCCTTCCTTCCTTCCTTCCTTCCTTCCTTCCTTCCTTCCTTCTTTCCCTCTCCCTCCCTCCCTCCTTCCCTCTCTTTTTTTCTTTCTCTATTTCCCCTCCCCTCCTCTTCCCTCATTTTCCTTTCTCTTTTCCTCTCCCCCTCTCCCCTCCCCTTCTTTTCTTTCATAAGGACAGTGGCTAACTATGTAGCCCTAGCTACCCTGAAACTCATTTTGTAGGTAGTCTAGGCTAGCCTTGAACCCAGAGACCCTCTGCCTCTGTTCTTGCCAGTGCAGGGGTTAAAGGTGTACAACACCATACCTTACACAATAGCTTTATTCACCTCAACAACCTGTTTAGCACCATTTGAAATATATTTTCAGTAAAAGGTAAATTATGTTGTAGAACCAGCTCAACAATAAAATCATACAAACTGAAAAATAACATAGATATTAGTCTCTTTTTAGTGTTGCTTTTATGTTAAAATTTGATGGTTCTTATATTTCTTAAAATTTGTTTTTTTTTTTCTGATGAATGATACCATTTTCTGCTTATCAAATCATGATTAATACTGGCTTTCTGTGAGTGCATTGTACAAAAGTTTGAAAGAAAGAAGGTGGTGTGTAATGAGACTGAGATGAATTGAAGTTTCTGATGTGAAGTTGGGGTAATGAGGCCTTTAACCTCTCAGGAGACAGATGGTTGTTTTTGTTTGTTTGTTTTTAATTATACTTTATTCACTTTGTATCCCCCCATAAGCCCCTCCCTCCTCCCCTCCCTCAGATGGTTGTTAAGAAGAATAGTGGAGTTCATTTTTACGTGCAGCACCATTTAAAGGCACTGTTTATGGCTTGACAGATTGTTCAGAAGTATGTTTAAACCAACAGTTGCAGCTACCACCAACCATCTAGTTAGGAAAGAAAGAAATTTAAATACAGGATGTTCTTTGTCTTTTGGGTAAATGCTAGCCAAAATATATGATTATTTTCAGTAGTGTTATTTTTCAGCTTGAGATCTTGAACATGTTTTTTTTGTTTGGTCTGCATAACTAAAAATCTTTCTAAGTCATCGCCAATATTTAAATAGTGAAGAATTTATAAAATTCCAGACGTTAGGGCTGAAGAGATGGCTTAGCAATTAAAAGTCCTTGCTGTTCTTCCAAAGGACCATAGTTCAGTGCCCAGCATTGTGCCAGGTAGCTTACAGCCTCCTGTAGCTCCAGCTCTCAGGGGAGTCTGGTGCCTCCTTTGAACATCTATCTGCACGAGTGTACATAGACCCACACACAGGCATACAATCATACACAAAATTTAAAAAGTAGTAAAAACATCTTTTAAAAATGTGGGCTTCAGATTTCTCTTTAAAATTGAGAGAACATGCTGGAGAGACGGCCCAATGATAGGAGCACTGATTGCTTTTTCAAAGGACCTAGTTTCAGGGGATCCAATACCTCATTCTGGCCTCCATGAGCAGTGGACATACATGCAGGCAAAACACCCATACACATAAATAAAGGTGATTAAAAACAAAATGACCAGTCCACATGGGTTTATGCCTACAAAGCAGCCATCATAGGTGAATAGTATTAGGCTGGCCACACCCTCTTTTCTCTCCATCTTTCTTACTTTTCTCTTTTGGCCTTTGTAGGAATTTGTGCTTGTCATCTTTCATTACAATTTAGTTGAATTCTTATTTGTTCTTCATTTTTTGAAAATTGAGAGTGTAATGTAAGTCAGTTACTGTCCATGCTGAACTGAGAGAGCGTGGAGTAGAAGTCTGGTATTTGCTCAGGTGCCTTTGAAAGCTGACGACAGACTTTTCTGTGTGTGCTGTGTAGGCACTATGGGTAACTGTTGAGAGAAGCTAGCATCCTGTCATCAGGTGAGGGCTCCTAGAGCCGTGCTTTCTGAGCCTCGTTACTCTCATTTCATAAAAAAGGTTAATTTTAAGGACGAAAGGGAGTGTGTAAATAGCATAGTGTCTTAGTAAATGTCCAGGTTTTAGCGGTTGTTTTATTTTACATTCTGATATGTGACTTTCAAAATGTTTACCTCCCCTTCCTTCTTTCTCTTTTAGCCAAATGACTTCTCGGTATCACTAAAAGCACAAGGGAAAAACAAGCATTTTAAAGTCCAGCTGAAAGAGACTGTTTACTGCATTGGGCAGCGGAAATTCAGCACCATGGAGGAGCTTGTAGAACATTACAAAAAAGCACCTATCTTTACAAGTGAACAAGGAGAAAAATTATATCTCGTCAAGCATTTGTCTTGATACTGCTCATCAGCAGTGACTGCTACACAGCTTTAACTCGTCATGTAACTGAAGACTGAGAAAGTGTCAGGCGAATTATACTTGCTTGGAAAGTGCTGTCTCTAACTGTATGAGAATTGATTATAATACATGAGTATTTTTGTTATAACAGCCCATATATGCTACATATGCAGTGCATCTATATAGAAGAATTCTTTATTCTTGGCTTTCTATCTTACCGTCGTCATTGCTATTTTTCGCCTTCCTCCTAATAGTTAAGGTTTTCTAGTCTGAAAAAGAATAATTCAGTTAAAAAAATCTTTATATGGAAGAATTCTTTTATTGCTGTTTCTTTATTTCCTTCTAAGGACATCCTGTTCTTCCATAGTTCCTCTTCTCATAAAATTATATCTATATGACATAAGCTAAAGTACATTTCTTGTAAAGTATTAATTTTTTCTGTGACTAAATAGCAATAATAAACAGTAAATTAGAAATTATTTTCAGATATTGTATCTGTCACAAGCCATTGTAAATATCAAGTATGTTGTTTGTGCCTTCATTTAAAAATATCCATTTATTGTATTCAAAAGAAACTTGATTTAGGTTAGAAAACATAATTTATAGCTATTTAAACAACAATTTAAGAATTTAGAGAGCAGTTTTTCCCCCTTCCCTTGATTATTCGAGTAAAGAAGTCTCTGACAGTTAGCTGTTGAAATGGAATGGATGCTTCTAGATCATGCTCTATTTATGGCACTGTGAAGTAAGTCATGGTCAAATTTGTAGAAAACAGTAGACAATGAGATGTGTAATTTTTTTCCTCTCTCAACATCAGTAATTCTTTTAGAAAAAGTTTTCAACTTTTCGCTTCCTTACCCCCTACCCAATATCTGATTCGCTGGAAAAAATATATATTTTTTTATACTGTTGCATATTGAACCTAAGGTTTCACAGACATGATAAGCAGATGCCCTGACACTGAGTGATTTTCCTATCCCCTCCTTATCTCTTAGTTTCCTTTCCTGGGTCTCTGAAATGATGTACTGTAGAGTAAATGTGCTATAGCTAGGTAAAGTGTATTATTTAAAATTTGTATCTGCCGTCTAATACTTTGTGTATATGAATGAAAGACTAAAGTATTGACTCTTCTGTTGGTCACACTTTCCCTCCTCATTCTGAAAATTTAAATTTAAGCAAAGTAACAAAGGCCTTTAATACCACATGAACACAAGAACATTGCTGTTCTTTGCTGTTTTAAACACATAACATTCCAAAATTATAGATGGTAAAGACTGTAAAATTTCATTTTTTTCATTGTAGTATAAATTTAATTTAAATCTTAAAATCACTTGGAGGCTGATGTTGCCACTGGGTGGCAGCCCTGGCCTCTTCCACTAAGTACAGTCAACATTTAAAGCTTTTTCATTTATGTTTGTCTTTGAGGGCTCTTTTGTTAAGGTAAATGGTAATAGATTGGTTTAATGTAAGTAAAGGCTATATAGGATACCTTTGGGGCTGTAAAATATTATGATTATTAAGAGAAACAGTTTAAAAGTGGTTTGCAGAATGAGTAGGTAGTACACATTTTTAACATTTGATGACACTTATTTTTGCTTTCTCTTCGTGTGCCTCAGCCATGCCACAAAACTGGACCTTTGTAAAAAGGAGCTTATAAGACTTTTATCATGGACACAGCTGTTTCTGGAAACTTTCTATCCCGCAGCTGATACTTTGGGAAAGCAGCTTTGGAGTAGCTCTGAAGTGAAATGCATGTATCCTGTTGTAGCTAGAGTTTGTAGAAAATGGAGGTGCTCCAATAGTATCTGTACATTCTAACTCTGAAACGAAATTAACTGTATGCTGTTTTACTTTGTACTTCAGCTTAAACCATCTCTTCAACCAAAGGCTGTTTATATTATAAGCGTGAATTTTACTTGAAGCAATTTCCTTAGGAATTCAAACAATCTTGGAAAATAGTTACAAAGCTAGATAGTAACAGACTTGTATTAGGAACACCCGCAACCTAGTTCTGTGTGTGTCTTGACACACTACTCTCTGTGTGGGTCCTGGGGAAATCAATGTTTAGAAGTTTTCATATATATATATGATTAGTTTCTAAATTAATATACATCACACCTCTAATCCTGCCTGGTTCATGTCTATAAAAACTGTAAAATCTTGGAAGAGGTGTTTTGTTCTTAGACAACTTTATGAATGTGCAAGTTTAGTGACAAAAAGAAAAGCTATATTTGGTCATAAATCTTAGGGTCACGAGTTGAATATTTTCATAACATGTATTGCATGCAATCACTTCATGCTAACACAAACACCTAAGACATCATTAAACAAAATACAAAATACCCAGCCCCGTATTATATACCTATAATTTGGCTGCTGAAGAGGCTGTGGCAGGAGGATCATGAGGGGTCTCTGAGTACCTTCTCAAGACACTTTGGGATGGCAGCATTAGAGTAGTGCCAAAGTGGGGTGCATGTATCCTGTTTTAGCTAGAGTTCATAGTAAATGGAGGTGCTTCAGTAATACCTGTGTATATGTGGGACTGTATTTCTGTAGCAGAGCATGAGTGAACCCTGGGTGCTATCCCGAGGCCACCAAACAAAAAACGGAAACTGAGCATATTGCCAGAGTAACGTAGCAGTGACGAACTTAGGTTATTAGGACATGCTTATAAATACATTGCATGCAAATTATATCCAGTTCTAATGCACTGCCACATAATCTAGAGGTTGCAAAAATATAGCCTATGAGATGCCTTTATGTGAATTAGGAAAAGTCATCATCTCCTGATGTGACCCTCCCCTTGTCAAAAACTGTAGAATTTTACCCGTTGATGGTGCCTTGTTCGTGGTGCAGCCAAATACAGAAGTATTGTTCAACTTGTGTAGTATTCAACTTGACAACACTTAAAACAGGAGATTTCAGATAGTGTTGTAATTTATGGTTTCCCATAAAAATAAGCTGACAATGTGAGTTGAATTCCCAAGTAAACAGTCAGCTGGAACCTGATGTGGATGGTGAAAGAGATTCAGAGTAACAAAGTCTTTCCCAACTCTTAACCCATAAAGTGTAGCCATGTTTATTGTTTCTCCATGTTTTTCCTGTTGTATGGAGAATTTTTGGCTTTGAATATGAAATGGCCATTTTTCAGAAACAGTTCTGGCATCCAAATCAGAGTGTAGATTTGCTTTTCCATTTTAATACTTAACTACAAGACAAGAAACCTTTGTATCTGTTTTATAGGTCTTCACAACTGTGCTCACTCCTTGAGTTTTGTTCAACATAAGACAGTATCATTTTCTAAGTCACATCCAATGGATTTAAAAAACAAATTGATTCTTTAGCAAGGTAGATATATATGCTCATTCTGTTGGTGTTCAGCCAGTTCTGCTGTATTTAAAATACAGCAGAGAGCAAAACAAGCAGCCCAAATCCACACCTCATGCCCTAACTTCTTGCTGTTACATGTGCATTTCTAGTTTACTTACAGGAGTAAACTAGACCTGAAAGTGTGTGTTTTGCCAAGACTTGTGGACTTGAAATAGAAAATGAACTGTGCTTGCTGAAGTTGTAGAGGAAGAGTTTGATTATCTTTGGCTATATACACAGAAGGGTTTTAAACCAAATTAAGAGTCCCCTTCCCCGCTAGAACACTTGATTTTACCAGTTTCAGAATTGGCTTAATGCCTCCAGTAGCTTAGCAGGAACAGGTTAGTTGATCCATTTATCTTTGTAGTGCTGATCAGTGCAACAGGTGCCTCATGCATGTTAGGAAAGTGCTCAACCAACTCTGATTTTAAATGTTTCTACTCAGGTTACATAAGTTTACAGCACAAGGAAAGCTGCATTCATTGTTAGAAATTTTTTTTGCTACCAAGGTTTTCTCTTCTCTTGTACCTCATTGACAACCTAAATGGGAAAACAAAATATAAGTAACAGTTTGAAGTAGTATCTAAGACATGTTGGGCAAAAGATGTTTTCAACCAACTTTTGGGCTCAGATACATCTTAATGAATGTGCAGGTATGTGACGCTGGAAAATTGTCGAAACAAAAAGATGGATTCCAGGGGCTGGAGAGATGGCTCAGAGGTTAAGAGCATTAGCTGCTCTTCCAGAGGTCCTGAGTTCAATTCCCTGCACCCACATGGTGGCTCACAGCCATCTGTAATGAGATCTGGTGCCCTCTTCTGGTGTACGAGCACACATGCAGGCAGATCATTGTATACATAATAAATCTTAATATATATATCTAAAAGATGGATTCCAGAAAAAGACTTATGTTGTCTAAATATAGGCTAAACACAGTAATAGTTGGGATAATTTTGAACACAGAAGAAACTAGTAACTCATGAGTAAGCATAGCTTGTCTAGAGCAAATGATGTCAAATGTATGCTTTCTAAACTGTAGATAGAACAAATTCTGATTTCATTGAGGTATAATTGGTTGGTTTCAAGATGAAAATTTTAGTTTTGAACTGTTGCTATAGCTTGTTCTTGCATGTCCCTCAAAGCATGTATTAAGTTCTTGTTTCCCATCTGTAGCACTTTTGGAAAGTGGTGAAGATTTAGGGAGATGGGGCCTTCCTCTCTCTTCCTCTCATCTTACCCTAAAACAATTCTACTTTTTAAGTTGGTTCTTCGTTGCTCAGGCTTGAGGCTGTTCTCACCCAGAAATGGAATGAAAAAACAAAAACAAAGCTTTTCTGAAATGTGTATTCTAGGGACACAATGTCTACATAGAGAAGACAAGTGGATGAAGCTGCAGCACAGGGTGGCAGATGCTAACAGGGCAGACGAGGGTCTCTGGCAAAATTGACATAGATGTGGGCTCCGCTTAAGTGACTGAAAAGCACCAGCCAGAAGTATTAGACTGCCATGTAGATATTTACTTGCAAAGCATTGTTTCTGGTTTTTAAAAGTTTTAAAGTGGTATTTGTTTTATTTAAGTTTGGAGCTTTTAACTACAAGGGGCTGTTCAGAATAAAACCCAATTCTCCATCTTAATAAAAGTTACTGGGTAATGTTTCCTAGAAACCGGGAAGATGACAGTGTTAGAGATTTCAAGGTTTTAAGATGTTAATTCCAAGATATTAATTTCTTGAAGACCATCAGTAGATTGAAATGACTGTGTTCAAAGAGAGGTTTTTTTGTTTTGTTTTGGGGGGGGTATATGTGTTTTACTTTTTAACTCTTATTATTTTGTTAATGTGTATAAGTATTTGGCCTGCGTGTATGTTAGTGCCCTTGGAGGGAGGCCCAGGGCATCAGATCCCTGAGGATTGGAGAAGGTTGTAAGCCACCATTCTGAGGCTGGAAATTGAACCCAGATCCTCTGGAAGAGCAGCTGATGCTGTTACCCACCGAACCATTTTGCTAGCCTCTCAGAGGAAGTTTACAAGGCATGCAAGAGCTCTGAAAACTGGAGTTTGGAAGTGTAGACATTACAGCTAGAGGAGACGCGTTGGAAACAGTCTAAAAGGAATTCCACTGTTTAGGAAAAAGAAATGAGAATTAAATGTCAGATATACTTAAACACAGGCAAAATATATGGGGATCTTGTAATGCAAACAGTAAGGGAATATTACAAAGAGAGTAAAGTAATTGACCATTTGGCCTGTGCCTGGACTCTTTCACAGTCTGAAGAGTGAGCCTTAGATTGGGGGTGGAAAGAATGGCCACCAAATTTTTCCTTCTACCTCGTTTCCTCTCCTTACCTTTTCATAAAGTCCTGGTTTCCCCTAACAAAATTAAATATCAAAGATTTAAGATTTTTAGACAACCCACTTATCTATCCACTCGACAGTTCTGCAGACCTGAATGACCTTCCAATTCTGCAGAAAATTAATCCCAGAAATGCATACAACAGAGCTGGGGATTTAGAACAGTTACTAGAATCAGAGTGGTGCCTCGTATGCACAAACCTCTGGGTTTGATTTCTAGCACCATATAAACCATGCATGTTGATGTACACTAATCCCAGCACTTCAGGGATGGAGTCAAGAGGATCAGGGAATTAAAGATTGTCCACAAATTTGGCTACATAGTGAATTTGAGGCCAATATTGGCTCTTTGAGCCCTTGTGTCAACAACAAAAAACAACTACAACATGCAACAGGATAAAGGATAGTTTGGTTTGAGTGTGTTGCATAGACAATCAACCGGCTGATGAGATAGAATAGGAAGAGAGTTGACAATAGAAGCAAGAACAGAGCCAGGAGTATCAGGAGAATTGAGCAAATAAGACATTGCTGTCAAGAAGTCCTCATCTAGTGTAATGGTTCAGGCAGAGCAGATATCTGGCTTTCTTACTGGTTGGTGACTGGAGCTTGAGAGAAAGTAATTCAAGGCTAGGTTAGGCTGATGGTATTACTTCTTACTGCCCATAGGTGTGTTTGAGTTTGGGACTGACTCCCTGTAGTTGCTTATGAAAGATAGGCAGATGTCTGTCAGGGTGGTAATGTTTGGCTGGCCAGTCTTGGTATAGACTCATGCCAAGCAGAACTAGGAATTTTATGACCCCGTTGCTTGGTGGCAGACTGCTCCGCAAGCCAGCTGTGTGAGAGTCTAACCTCTTGATTGCATTTTTTTCTACCTTTTCTTTTTTATCTTCTTATTCACTAAGTATGCTCGAACTTTCTATTTCATGCTTTGCTTAAGTTGCTCTATCTGGATTGCTGAATCATGAGCTCAGTCTAACCCCTTCTATTCTAACAAAGATGGGTATATTCTTGGAATTTCATTTTGAGGCCCATTTCCTGTGTATTCTCTAAACCTTTGTTAATTTCATGGGTCACACCCCTTTTAGTCTTAACTGGGAAGCAGTTAAGTGAAGTTGGATTTCGCCATATTTCTGCTGGATTTCCTGTCCCCATTCTTGATTCCCACAACTATTTCACATTACTCTATTTACTTTGTAGATGAAAAAGTAACGTAAGGCTGATGGAATTGTTTTCCTTCTCTGCATCAAATGTTCATTGCTTTTTCCATTTAGTTTTCAGTCCACAATGATCTGGGTTCTGATCCAAGGTTTCCGCAGGAACTCCTCTTGCTGGGATTACAAAGACTTTCCAGTTATTACATCCAAGGGACATTTTTCAACAATTAACTCACTGGGGACTCTCTTTTGCACTCTGCCTCGACATCATGCTTCATTGTTGTCAGAACTATAATTTGTACTGGCTCCGCTTCTCTGAGCTGCCTCCTTCCCCCAACCCCTATTTTTCTAGTTCCTGGTATGGATATATGTCTGCACACCCTCCTTAATGGACATGTTCTTTGCACAAACTCACCCCGTAGGCGGGGGAAGGTTTCCGTTTCCTTGACGTTGATTGGAGAGACTATTTTCATAGTGGGAGTTAGTGCTCCCGTAAGTGCTTCAAATCAAAGGGCGTGAGGCTGAGCACATGCAGCCTCTTTCTACAGACCTCTACCCCTGCCTGTCCTGACGCCACCCTACTCGGCTTCTTTCTGTTCTTTCCATTGAGGTCTTGCTGTCCACACAGTTACCCAAACCAGAACTGGAAAGTCGTGTTTGGCTCCCTTCCCTGCCCCTCCCAATCCATCAGTCTGCAGGAGCTGCTATTCTACCAAGCCCTGAATCTGGAAGTTTTTGTTTCTTCCCACAGACATGGGAAACCTAGCATAGGCTGACAGTATCTCTCACCTAGATGCCTGCCAGAGTTCCCTCTAGTCTGCCCCTTCCTTGCTATCTCAGAACGTTTTTACAGCTCAAATGCAGAGAATTCCACCATCAGATCGGAGCTTACACCCCTACCCTTAGTACTCACTGCTCTCAGGATAAAATGGAAGCCCCTCAGAAAACACCGAAAGCTTTCCAGACCATGTCTCACCAGGTGCTCTCCAGCCTTGCTCGCTATTGGTACAAAACTTAGGATTTTTGTAAACATGATGTAGCTTCCCCGTTTTAGTACAATACTCCATGCCAGTCTCCTCAGGAAGCCTTCTAGGATCCCATAGGGTAGATTGGGCGTTTCTCTTCAGTACTCCAGTAACCCAGTGGTTCTTTCACCAGATTCTGTATTGCACCTATGGTTATTTCTGTATGCTTCTTCATTACAGGATAAGAACTGTTGAATTTCCAGATTTTGTACATAGTAAATTTCTAGTGAATGTTTGTTGAATGAATCAATGAATGACTGTCCCAAAGTTTTCTTGCAAGTAAGTTAAGAAACTGGAACCAAAAAAAATGTTCTATTAAAAAAAAAAACAAACAACAAACTATGTTCATTCTCAAACCAGTGTTCATTTTACCATTATAATTTGCACATTGGAGTTCTTAAAGTCCTCAAGGAACTGAAGTTTAAGAGGCCAATTTCTGGTACAGGATATCCCTTCAAAGTTTTAAAATTGGTTCTAGTTTTCAGTAGTACATTCTCAGGATTCAATAATCAGTTTTAAAAGATACTTGGTAAAGAATCTTGTTCATGTTTTTAATTTCCATTTTCTGTTCCATCTCTAGATGCCAATTTTGTTACCTCATTATGTTCTAGATTTTCTTTTTGCAGACTTGCAAATATGAAACTATAATTCTTTACCTTTTGTAAAATGATATTTAAAACCGAGGCAGCGGGTTGGCATGCAGCTAAGTGGCTATTGTCACAAAGACCTGGGCTCAACCCCCAATGCTGCAGAATACGGGAGTGATAGTAATCATTTCACTTCTCTACTTTTCCAGAAGTATGTATTAGCAAACAGAGCTAATTAGCACCCAGCTTGAATGAATGGGCAGAGAGGTACTTGGCACAGGAAGCTACTTGATGAGTAGGGAAAATAATCTTGGCAGAACACTGACTTGGGAAGACCCAAGGCCTTCCACAACTGAGCCTGTGTGCCCAGATGTCTCCCTCAGGCAGATGTCTCAAGTTCCCAGTTATCATTTCTCTGGAACTCTCGCAGGCCACTCCCCTTGATGCAATATCTGGGTTTGGGCAAAAAGGAGGGTGCTGCAAAGTCCGCCCATTCTGAGCATTTGGGCCAGCTTCTCTTTCCAGAACAACTCAAGCTTCATTGCAACTCTGACCTCAGCGCCAACATCTTCTTCCTGAAGCAAGGTGCCCAGGATGGACAGAAAGTTTCATTCCGAAAGGAAACAATGTTTCAGGGCAAACTAAGTTTGTCAGAGACCTTCACACCAAACAGGCGAGCGCAATGGTTCTGCAAAGAGTCTGGACAAGTCCTGTCATGTGGCTTTTCTACAGCTTAATCTCAGGTTTTCTCACAGGTAGGAATGAATTTAAGTATACCTGTTAGTTTGGGCCTTGAATATAGGTTAAGGTGACATACTTTCCTGGGTTTGGAGTTGAATTAAAATGTCTGTTTCTAAAAACCTTTTTATTTCCATCTTCCACATCTCCACTTGTCTACTTTTTAGCTCCATCTTCATGCATTCTGTTTGGAAAATTTCCTCCTGATATCCACAGAATAATCTAGAAAGATGTCATTGTATGCAGAGTTCTATGCATTTTGCTCTTTATTTCATTTGATATTTGAAGGGTTAAAATATAGTTATTGCAATCATTTTCCACGTTGCAGTTAAAATGATTAAAGATTCTGACAGACACAAAAAGGCAATTTATAAGCTTCATATTGGGCATAAGATTTATAAAAATTAGATTTCGCTCTTGGTCATTACAGAAAAAGGTACTTCATATCATTTTTGAAAAGATTTGGTTTGGGGCATTTTTTCTGCCAGTAAGATTACATAATTTTCTCTTCTACTCCTGGCTCCTTGTAATTACTGTTCCCAAACTGCAGTGTTCCTAACCTGTTCCTGTTTCCTCAAGTCAAACTGTATTTAAGAGAAATTTTTAGTTTTAATACTCCAAGGTACTGGTTGCTTTGTGGTGTCATTGGGAGCCTTGAGTACTTAAGCAACAAATCAGTACGGAAGCTACTTGGCAGTATTTAGCTCACAGGGAAATGGATGGCATTCCTGACCCCCAAACCTTCACGGTTCTGAAGGTTCAGCTAACATTGTCCACACTGCTTATTTCTCATTTGTGTATTCAGGTCTCTCCCGATATTTAGTGGAGGCTTTTTCTCACTACTTTTAGGAAACAAATACAGATTGCAGGGCTCCTTGCTGTCATCATGGTTGACACATTCTATGCTTACTTTCTTGCCTTGGCCTTTATTGTTACAGTTTTCTAATTAGGGCTGTTGAAATGATTCAGTAGGTAAAAGTGCTTTGTTGCCAAGCCTGACAAGCTGAGTTTTATCCTTAGAACACATGTGGTGGAAGGAGAGAATCAACTTCCTCAAGTTGTCTTCTGACCTCCACAAACTTGCCATGGCAAATGTGTCATTGTCTGTCCAACCCCCCCACCTTGTGTGTGTGTGTGTGTTCATGGTTTAATAGTATAGCCACTGGTCACATAACTTCATTTTTCCCACCTGTGAAATGTTTCTAACAACCACCTTGAAGTTTTGAAGGGTTAAAAGTAGACAATACAAAAAAATTTTAAAGACTTCAACACCCTTGCCCCAAATGTTAATTATGCTTATCTTTTAGTAATGCAAATGGTGGTGTCAGAAAATAATTGCTTTAGCTAAGGTTATTCTCATGTAATTTTGAGTATTTACTTAGGACTTTGTAGGTGAAATGTGCAAATACAGAATGAATTTCTGTTGCTTACTAGATCACTGGGCAGATGAGTAAATTTGTCTTGCTTTGCCCCTTCCAAATAATAGTGGGTGATTAAGGAAACTGATTCTTAACTACTAACAACAATGACAGCCACACTTACCTGCCTCTAGTTTTCCTCCCTCCCTCCGTCTCTCTTACTTTTTCTCTCTTAAGACTGAACCTTCAACCATATGCAGTTGGTTTACTATTGAACTGCATTCTCAGAGCCTTTTTATTTTATTTTATTTTTCTATGTAGACTTGAGCTTGCTCTGTAACCCAGGCAGGCCTTGAACTTGCCATCCTCCTGCTTCACGCTTAGGCAGATGGAATTGTAAGACTGCCATTAGACAAGGCTAACATTTCCGAATACATAGGTATGCTCTAGATTAGCAATGCAGGTTCTTCACTCATCTCCCTCAGTCTGCAAGGCAGGTGTGATGATCCCCATTTTACACTAGGAGTCAAGAACCTTGTGTACAAAGAAGATGCAGTTCTTTGTCCAGGTATCTGATAAATGGGGAATTGTGGCAGGACTCTGACTAAGCAGCTCCAGAGTCAGTGTGCTTTCCCTTCTGTGCACAAGAAGGGGAGACAGGGATGTGGGCTAGAAAAAGGGAGGGGTGACAAAGTGAAGGAATTATGCATTTACCTTAAAGACTTGGAGGAAAAGGTGGTGGAAGGGGAGCCAAACAAACAGAGATGACTAGAGGGGTCTGGGGTAGGAAGAGATACAACAGTTCCTGCCTGGAAAGTTTGCCAAGTGGCTTTGTGGAGCACTGCCTTCCTGCTGCCGCCCTTGTACCTAAGATTTTAGGAGACATGAATCTTAGAGCAACTAAAAGTACTAAGATGGCTGAAAGAGCCAGTTAGTGGTGGTAGGCACACCTTTAGTTCCAACGCTTGGGAGGCAGAGACAGGCAGATCTCTGAGTTCGAGGCCAGCCTGGTCTACAGAGAGTGTTCCAAAACAGCAAGGCTACTCAGAGAAACCTTGCCTTGGAAAACAAAACAAAACAAAACAAAACAAAACAAAACAAAACACATGGCTAAGAGATTAGGAGAACCACCAGGCCTAAGCTAAGTCCTTATGGGAGTCAAGATGTGCATGGCTCACTTGCTCAGTTTCATTCACTCAGTGTTTCTAAGCTTTTCTGTGAAGGGCTCTGGACTGGGTGCTGATTAGAGGTGAACAAAACTGTCCTCTGTTTACTGCAAGCATAAAGCCTGCTCGAAAATACACGGCAATGCTACACATCTGAGGATTTAACACATTTCAAACTATTCTTTACCCTGCAGAAGTATGCTCTAGATCAGCGTCTCAGTCCGAAATGAATACTGGAGTCACTTGGGGAGCTTTGACAAATAAAACTGCCAAGGCTGCACTGCCAGAGATTCTAGATTCATCTGGGAAGCTGCCTAGGCATTGGGATTTTTGAAATTCTCAGGGTGGGGCTCTTTAGAGAAGTGGCTGCTTACAGGACTGGACAGGGAAAATGCAAGATGAGACAGGAGTATCTTGTGGTATGCCAAGAAGTGCTTAAAATAGGATGAGGGCCTAAATGTAGGATAGTATATTGGGTTGGGTCTTGGAAGTGGAAGAATTGGCAAAATCCAAATCAAGTCTGGAATTTTGTTATGATAATTGACCCACATGTGCCCCTTAGTTTTGAGAACTGTATCATGATTACATAAGATGTTAACACTGGTTGGAGTTTACATTATCTTTGAAATTCATAGACCTGAAGTTATTATTTTGAAGCCTATCGACAAGGCTGATGCATTCATTTAACACCAGCACTCAGAAGCAGAGGCAGGTGGATCTCTTTGATTTTGAAGCCATCCTGTCTCAAAAACAAAACAAAGCCCACTGACAAAAATAGAATGGAAAAAGAGTGGGAGGTAAGTGACAATGAGCCAAATGGACGCAAAAATCAACCTGAAAGACTTTTCATGGCTGAAACAACTGAATAACGAATAATAGTAATACTGGATTTTAACCATAAAATGAAATCCAGTACCTAAGAGTCTATTCATATAAGTAAATCACTGAACACATAATAAACAGTGGAGGAAGAATGGTTCTTCCTTATGGGAGAATCCCAATTCAACTAAGAGAGACTTAGCTCTTAACTGCAGTGATTGCTAAAAGTACTATCTACCAACACCTGTCAAAATTAATGTATGGAAACTTGAAAAGAATTTACATACTCTCACATATTTCTCCCAGTATGTTTATTAACTCCAACAGGTAAGTAAATTGGTACCTGTACAGATCAAGATTAACATCTGATAATTACATATATTGACACCGCGTCCTGTGAGTATAAGGCAAAATCTATAAACATTTTGCAACCAGTTGCTTGGACTTGCCCTGTTGTGAAGCACGCAGAGAGAGTACATAGAATAGGAATGAATTCTCTCAGCAAGAATGCATGGTAGACCTTGCCTGAGAGGGCCAAGAGGAGGCTATTAACACCTTTGTTGCATTGGGGTACCCAGCAACATCCTCAGCTGGAGACCCCACTCACTGTGTTTGGATTTCATAGGGAAAAGCAGTGGCTGAAGGCCATCACTTAGAGTTTGGGGAGCCATGAATGTTACTTTGAGGTCCAAGGCCAGAGAGATGTTGGAGCCTATTTGGAACGCTGACCAGTGCTGACCTGAACACCTCTCTCAGGGTGCAGTCATATAGCTGAGACCTGTCTACAGCTAACATGATAAAAGGGACAACCTAAGACTGGTCTCCCCCCCGGAAACTAGGATGGGGGAAACTTTCATCAACCTTTGAGAAATTCATGTCAGATACTAAAGGAACAGGAATTGGTGCACCATTCTGGAACTCTGTGTCTGAGGGAAGTCTCCCAAGTATAAGATGCTGCTGCTGCAAAGACATCTAGTAAAACAGGCTAAATTTAAAATGTATAGTTTCACGTAAGCCCTGTGAAAACAGACAACCAAACTGAGAACAAATCTATAAAACAACCAACTCAGTGCTCTTCAGAAGTGTCAAGGTCATAAAAGACAGAGGGAAATGGAGAACAGGCTGGAAGAGACTAATTAGATATGACAACTACATGGGGAATCCTGGACTGGTGCCTGGAAGAAAGAAAACAGCCTGAAAGGGGAAAAACTGGTGGAATTGAATAAAGACTGAAGCTTAGTGATCCTGTAGTTACTATCTCAGTCTTATTTTATAATCCTACTTCAGCTGAATACATGGAGGGATGGATGAGGGTATACAAAAGCCCCCTCTGCTACTGTGCATCTCCGCTAAAGGTCTGAAATAATTTCCAAGTTAACTTGTCTGCTGAGTTATGAATAGGATCACATCATATTGTTAGCAGCACTGTTCTAGAAGCCAAAGAGGTCAGTCTGTTTCCTTGTCTTCCCAGGCAGCCACCTGGGCTCCTTGCTCATGGCCCCCTTTTGTTATCTGCATGGTACCCTTTGCTTAAGCACTCACCTATTGACAGACATTTGGGCCAATTCTAGTTCAATGTTGAACATTCCTATATGGATCTTAATGTGGCAGAAATTTCTGTTTCTCTAGGATAAATGCCTAAGATCACAACTGCTAAGTTGGATAGTAATTGTACATTTGGTTAAAAAAAAAACAACAAATCTGCCAAACTATTTTCAAAATTAATGTACCAATTTACATTTCTACCGTATATGAGGGATCCATCTTCTCTTCTCCTTGCCAGAATTTAGTTTTGTAACTTTAACTACACAGCTATGCCATCGAGATAGCTGTCTCATTGTGTCGTGCTGTCTCATTGTGGTATTAATTTGCATTTCCTTCATAGCAAATGATTTAAACATCTCTAGACAAAATTTTTACATACATGCATGGGTGTTTTGGTTGCATGTGTTCCTAATGCCCTTGGAGGCTAGAAGAAGGTATTGGATCCTCTGGAACTGGAATTAAACAGTGGTCATGAGGTGCCATGTAGGTGCTGGGAATTGAACCTAGGTTCTTTGGAAGAGCAGCCAGTGCCCCTAACCACTGAGTCATCAAGCCAACTCTTTTAAATATCTTTTCATGTGCTTATTTGCTATCTGTATATTTCCTTTGGTGAAATGTCTCTTCATGCTTTGTCATTTTATCTTTTAGTTGTTTGATTTCTTAAGTTTTGAGTGTTCTTTATGGATTCTAGATAGTCATCCTTTGTGAGATAATGGTTAGGATCCATTTGTGTTCGTTATTATATAATACATGAACTTTAGGTTGAGGTTTCTTTCTCCTGCACATACTAGAAGAATGGTGGCAGAGGGTCCGTACTGTACCCAAGGGCTATAGGTAAGGCTGAGCTTTGGGCTGCCTGAGGTCCCTATCAGGGCAGGTGCAGCTTTGCTGGCCATTTTCGTTCTATGCACACTGTGGCGCCACTGTGTATATACTCTAGACACGATGCTTTGATCCTCATGAGTAGTTTCCCGTGCCCTGGGTGGGTGGTGGGCTTCTAGGCCTCCCAGGCTGGAGTCTCTGAGCTGTTTTGTTTGTTTGTCTCTATTACATTATATCTACAGTAGACCTGAGTCAGAGCTTCTCGCCTGGCTGATGGTGCCCCAGTTGGGCTTAAATTAATGTGTTTTAGTGCCCAAGGATGGCAGAGAGCCATGATAAGGAACTGGTAAGAGCCGGTGTGAATTTGCCACAAAGAAGTAGGAGGCTCAGGTTATCAGGATGCATAAGATAACATAGTTCAGGGGTGAGTCAAGGCCTGAATCCAGGTCAGTCTGGCATCAAACTACCATCTAGACTCTATAAGGAAGTCATTAGCAAGTCAATGAATAAACTGATTGAAAATGAACAGTAAAATTAAATAGACATTTCTCAAAAGTACACGATACTAATGACCAGCAAGTATGGAAAGCAGTGTTCAACATCATTAATCATTCCAGAGAAGTAAAATAAAACCAAAATAAGATACCACTTTACCCCAGACTGGGGATTAGCTCACTAAGAGAACCTAGGATATGTACTCCTGGGATCTCATTGACAGGACCACAATATAAGTGATTTTCATTAAAAAGTTAAAAATAAACGAGCCAAATGCTGGTAAACGCTCTTATTGAGAATGTAAGCTTTTATAATCTTTATGGAAAGCAGTGTGGAAATTCCTCAAAATGTTCAAAGTGCAGCCATCATATGACCAGGCTATCCCTCTACATCCCAAGGAAAATTTAACTGTGTTGAGTCCTCTGCTGACTGTTTATAGAAGCCAAGACACACACGAGATTAATTCTTGGATATTTCACCTATGAATTCGATTGTCCATCAACTGAATACTGTTCAGCCATAAAAGCCTGACATAGAAGATCCGGAAGGTAGTATGTTAGGTGAAATACACCAGGCATAGAAAGACAATCAAATTCATAGGTGCGATATCAAAGAATTGACCTTGTGTGTGTTTAGAATGGAACGACAGTGGCAGCTAGAGGCTGGAGAGAGTAGTGGGTAGAGAGAGAGGACAGTACAAAGATTGGTTAGCAGCTACTAAGTTACAGTTAGATGGCAGAGGTTGTTCTGGTATCCTGTTACACAGTAGAGTAGAAAAAATGATTTCAAAGCTGGGTGTGGTAGCAGCACACCTTTAATCCCAGCACTCAGGGAGGCAGAGGCAGTCAGATCACTGAGTTCAAGGTGAGCCTGGTCTACAGAGTGAGTCCAGGACAGCCAAGGCTACACAGAGAAACCCTGTCTCAAACAAACAAAAAAATTGTATTTCAAAAGGCTCAGAGATAGGATATTTGAAAGCTTTGTTTTTTAAATTATTTTTAAAATTTTAACTAAAAAAAAGTGAATGTTTGAGATACATAGGCTTGTTTTTATTTGAAGTAACACACTGCATACATGTGTTAAAACACCACATAGTTATTCATAAATATAATGGGTATAATTTTTTATATATTCGTTAAAATAAATAGGGCCAGTGAGATGGTTCACTGAATAAAGGTACTTTCATGAAAACCTAAAGACCCATGTTTGAACCTGATTCCCATTGGTGTAAGGAGAGAGAACCCTAAAGTTGTCCTCTCACATCCATCCATACACCATGGCGTATGCAGATTCACACTCGTACACATACATGAGCATATACACGGATAATAATTTATTAAATAAAAAAGATTCATTCCCCCTAGTGGTGACACACACCGTTAATCCTAGCAGAAGTAGGTGGATCTCTTGAGTTCAAGGCCAACCTAGTCTAGAGAGCAAGTTCCAGGACACAGTTCCAAGTCTACACAGAAAAACCCTGTCTTGAAACAAAACAAAACAAAGCAACCAAATAGTATACCTCTGTTTGTTTGTTTGTATAATGGGGAAAATTATGGTTCTTACACTCAGTAGGGTCATGAAAAGCTGCCCATAGTGGTGCAAGCCTTTAATCCCAGTACTTGTGAGGCACTCACAAGTCTGAGTTTGAGGACAGCCATGACTACACAGAGAGACCCTGTCTCCAAAAACAAGCAGACAAAAAAGAAAGGAAGAAAGGAAGTAGAAAAAGAAGAAAATTAAATGGCATAGTTCCGTAACAATCTAGTAAGGGCCTATATAGAATATGAGCAATGTTTGCTAACGCTTATCCATTAAATAGGCCACGTTGTCACAAAGGTACAGGTGTGATGAAACCACTTGCTGATCATGAACCTGTGAGGCTCTTTGCTATGCTGGCTCTCACTGTCACTCAGAGGTCAGCTTCTCTACTTAATTTCATCCCAGATGGAGTGTTCGTTCTGCCTGCCCCACAGAACTTCTCTGTGCAGTCAACCAACATGAAGCATCTCTTGATGTGGAGCCCCGTGTCCCAGCCTGGGGAGACAGTATTCTATTCTGTGGAGTACCAGGGGTGAGTTGGATTTGGTTTTTCTTCCTTAGACGGCACTTCTGAGAGGGATAGCCCTTCCTTATCTACTCAGGGAGACCTTGGGCCTCAGGAATAAATGTTTTTCCCAGTCCACCGCTTGTTGTAAATGGATATGGGAGAACCAAATACATTTTGCTGTACCTGTTTTAAACAATAAGCAAACTGTCTGTTGAGTTTGGTCCTGACTTAGAATGGACAAATCTGAAGATCCTGACCCTTTGGGGTGTAAGAGGTCATAGTTTTCTTGACTAACTTGGACTAGAAGCCCAAATATGTTCTGACCCTCAAGTTCAGCTGGCCCAGGGGTTACTTTGGTTCAAGTTTTTTCTAGCTGTCTAAGCACTAGTGGTTGCTGAGAAGTGACTGGCAGAGTTAGTGCTCACCATACTTCATTAGAAATTGTAAGACCCAAGGTTAAACTGTGAGCCCCATCTGCCCACGGACCAGGTAACATCCTGAGATAATAGGAGTTGTAGTTCTTGGAAAACAACGAGAATGCATAGGAAAATATGGTGGCCACATGGGTTTGTTTTTAAAAGCCTCTGCAACATGCACTCATCGATGAATTCTGGGGAGTCATCCTGACCAAAGCCCATTCTGGTCAGTATTCAATTAAAGCTTGCTTCAAATTTGCCTCAGAATTGTGGAACTGGTGTTTCTCTTGTGAATCTCAGGATTAACACAACAAGCACAAATAGAGGTCTACACGTGTGGACATTCTTCTAGCCTCTGGGTTACAAAAATTCACATTTCTAGATACAGGGAAACTAGCTTCTAGAAGAAAGATACTAAATACAAATGTAGAATGATAAAGATGAAGAATCTTTGCAGCCACTAGCTACTAGTAGCTAGTAAAGTTTAAACGAAATTGGAACGTTTCCATTCTTTCCTTTTCACCTATTCTATATCCCCAAGGGGCCAGTGACTACCAGCACCAAACAACACTGATGCAAAACATTCCTATCATCACAAAAAGTTCTATTGGGCAGCAGAGCTCTGAGCCAAATCCTGAGTTTTGAGTTCTGATAGGAAGCTGTTAGGGCTGATGCAAAGGAGTTGAGTTTGCAGCTCCTCTTAGGTGGCAACCTCTGTAGGAGGTGATATTTATGCCATGCCTGTGAGACTGCCAAAACAGTACATTTGAGATAGAAAACATCGAGGTAGAGGCCCTAGGCAAAAAGAGACCATCAGCATTTTGAAGGAGTGAGCAAGGAATCAGTAGGGTAGGAGCAACATCTAGAGGGCAGGATGAGAGAAGGCCAGAGCGTCACAGGCAGCCATTAGGGACAGACACATCATAGTCTTGCCAGCGAGGCAAGGCATGTTGGCAGACATGAGGGTGGTGGCTTTGGATGTAGGAAGACATGGACAGATTGAGGCTTATGCTCAGATTTCTGAGGAATCAAGGAGAGTGGTGTTTAGGGTGGGAAGCAAATGGAGGATCTGGAGCTGGGGAGAGAATGCTTGTTCTGCTGACCAAGAACAGAATCAAGCTAGTTACAACCGTCTTTGGGTCTTCGTCAAAGGGTGTGTTATGACTCTGTGACTTCCTCTCCTCCGTCAGGGAGTATGAAAGCCTGTACATGAGCCACATCTGGATCCCCAGCAGCCAGTGCTCACCTACCAAAGGTCTGGAGTGTGACGTCACTGACGACGTCACTGCCACAGTACCATATAACTTCCGGGTCAGGGCCATGCTGGCCTCACAGACTTCAGCCTGGAGCACCCTGGAGCACCCCTTTAATCGAAACTCAAGTAAGGCACGCCCCCTCCTGCCCTTTTAGGAAGTTTTACTTAAATGTTCAGCATCAAAATAACAGGTGTACTTATAAACGCAAACTACCCTTACTGACATGTTTTTAAAATTGCTGACTTTCTCACGTGCTGTCTTTCTCTTGCCCCACTTTGGGAGTCAGTCCTGACTGTCCTCATTCTAGCATCAGCACTAGGATTCTTAATGCCTCTCCCACCTGGAGCCTCGTTAACCCCATACTGTTGAGAGCAGCTTCGTTGTTTAAAAACATCTGTCGTTTAACAGCTACTAGAAATAGCTCTTCTCTGCGGTTGCTGGCAAATCACTTTTTCTTTTGTAATTATAACTGGAAAATGATTGAAAGGGAAGAGAAGGATGCAGATAAGGGGCCAAATATGGCTGGGTGCATGCCATGGCTGGAGTGTAAGAGGGTGTGTGTGTTTGGAATAAGTTGAGACCTGAATGGGCATTGGGGTAGACTAGCAGCTGACCCTATAGTGAAGCTTGACTAAGTCATAAATAAGTATGTGGGAGCAATGGAAGAAGACAGAATCTGGGCCATGTCTTTCTTATATAACAACCCCTGTGGCCACTGAGGGAAAGTGACCTGGAATAGGATAAGGCTGCAGGGCAAAGAAAGAATGAGAAGATTGTTGCCTTCCAGCCATGCCAAGATGGGTTCTGGACTTTAGAGTAGCAGAGCAGATGGGGAGTGGCGGAGTGAATGAATTCAGGAGACATGGCTGCATGCACTTAAAATGGCCAGAGCTTGAGGACTGGTTATTAGGATGGAATGGGAAGACAGAATCTAGCTTCTTACAAGGGCTGGTGGGAACAATGTCCAAGGCAGAGAACACAAAAGGAGCAACTGATCTGGAGGACTAGGAGACACTTTGTCTATGTGGTTTTGGAGCTGAGGTCTCTGCATCGTGTGCTGTGGATGTCTAACTAGCAGCTGGAAATCAGGCCCTGGAGCTCTTGGAGGTGAAAGCCAAACACACAACACAAAGTTACGCCTGGATAGATATGAATGTGCAGGGAAAGTGTAGGGAGGATAAAGAACTCATGTTAGGCTCCCAGAAATCTCAGGGTTTAAAAGGTAGACAGAGGAAGGATGCGAGTAGGTGGCTGGGCAGGTAGAAGGAACAGAAAGCTCCTGATAGGCCTAAGGAGGCCCTTAGGTGGTGCTTGAGAATGTTATGATGGCTGCCACACATACTTGTCTGAGGTGGGAGTGGGCAGGATGCTAGGTCCTTCAGCAGCCCATTTTCTTCATGCAGCAGAAGATCTGCTTGAAGTTAGGGTTCAGGAATGGGCCAAGTCAAGTTACTGAGGACAGAGGATGTTGAGGGGAGGTCAGGAGGGCTTAGATGGTGAGGCATCCCAAACTGGCCCTGAGGAGTTATGAGGGTTGGTTCAAATCCAACTTGGAACCTGACAGCTTTGTGCATTCAATATTTTGCCTCATGGCAAATGTTGAGGGGGACCATATGAAATGTCGGTGCTCAGCGAGGTCCAGTCTTACCACAGCGCTCAATTGTTGTTAATAGTATTATTGTTGCCCTGGGAATGCTGAGAGCCAGTGAGCAGAGGAGGAGCTTAGGGCTGTTGGAATGGGATGCCAGAAGGTTTTTGTTGCAAAATGTGGACTTCTCTGCTAATCATCTGTCCCAGACACTGGGAAGACTTGGCTGAAGTGGCAGGAGCCCACTGCAGGCACCTGGAGGCTCATGGGCACTGGGGGACACTGCAGCTCTTCCTCTGCCCACAGATTTCAGGCAGCACCCAGCACTACTTCCTCTGGCCCCTTGGAGCCTGGAGCTCCAGCCAAGAACTCCTCTGGGGTCTGGCAGCTATTGCTGGAAGGAAGGCCAGGACAGATGGAGATCAGGGAGTGCCGGCAGTTATTTGGGAGGGGCTGAGCAGTAAAATGTGTGCTTAAGAGGCCAGAATAAACAGGAAGAGGATTTGCTGCAAGGGAATCTGATGGATAGGAATTTACATGTGCTGAAGAGAACAGAATCTCTCTGCACAGATGTAGCCCGTGGCAGCTCAGTGTCCAAGTGGGTGTCCTAGTAAGGGGAACAGGGGCTGTCTCTGACATGAACTCATGGGCTGGCTCTTGAATCACCTCCCCATGAGGGGGGAGCAGCCTTAGCAGTCCACAGAGGAAGGCAATGCAGCCAGTCCTGATGAGACCTGATAGGCTAGGGTCAGATGGAAGGGGAGGAGGACATCCCCTATCAGTGGACTGGGGAAGGGGCATGGGAGGAGAAAAGGGAGGGAGGGCAGGATTGGAAGGGGATAAGGGAAGGGGCTACAGCTGGGATACAAAGTGAATAAATTGTAATAAAAAATTCCTGTGGGTGCTGGGCAGTGGTGGTGCACGCCTGTGATCCCAGCACTCGAAAGGCAGGATAGCCATGGCTACACAGAGAAACCCTGTTTCAAAATGGATAGATAGATAGATAGATAGATAGATAGACAGACGGATGGATAGATAGATAGATAGGACTGTCTGTCTCTGTCTCTCTTTGTATGTCTGTGTGCATATGTGGGTGTGTGTGTGTGTTGGTTTCTCAAGACAGGACAGGCTTTCTCTGTGGAGCCTTGGCTCTCCTAGAACTCTGTAGACCAGGCTGGCCTTGAATTCACAGAGATTTACCTGCTGAGTGCCAGGATTAAAGTCATGCTGTATCTCTTAAGGACACTCCATCTGCCTTTTTCCTTTGAGAGGGCCACTCTGGCTTCTCGGACACATGAAAAACCTGTGTTAATGTTCTCTTGTGGAGCTCGCCTATTCTTAACCTTGCAGAGGGCAGATACTCTTCACCTCAATTTCATGTTATAATCATATGGAGCTTGAAGGCCACCTGTCTGGGGCCAGTCCAGGGGTGTCCAATTTAAATGATGTGTGAGCATCCACTTATTTGGAACTTAAAATTCTGCCCAGGATATTGTCATGTGATTCCCTGTGATTCCCTGCTTCAGATGATGAACAGGGCAGGTTAGAAATGGCAACTACAGTGGGCTCTAATTCTGACTGCTAGTAGTGTGGCTCTGGGCAAGCCCCTTAATATCGATGTACCATGGGGAAAACATTCACCTTCTGAAGCTTCTGGGTGGATCAAGAGAAACAAGTATACAGAGTGTGTAGGCCGGGGCTCCCAAAGTCTCTAGACTGAGATTTCGGTAAAAACAGATAGCAATCAGAGGCCCAGATTCCATTCGTATGTGGAGGCAGCCCTTGTCTGTCGTCAGGTATCACAGCGGCAGTGGTGCTGTGTCAGGACCGGCTGTCTGACTTCCCAAGTCCTCTTGTCTCTTCTAGGGATAGCTCACCAGACACAGGGACATTTTCTCCAATGAGGACGGCAAGGGAGAAAACACAGAAACACATCCGCTCTGTGACTGCTCCCTGTAGGAGCCTTTCTTCTCCATGTCCCTCGACCCCAGTGCTGCGGAGGGATTTAGCTCATGACCACTTCCCTTTCTACTTCCCAAGCCAATACCAACCATCACAGGGGCCCTTCTGGTCCTGCAGTTTCTAGATGGATATTGAAGGAGGGAGGCAGCCTGTGTGGGCCCTACTGTTCTTGGCCTCTTGGCTGGAAGGTTGTCCCCAGGGGCTGCTGGCCTCTCTGGGAACCTGCCATGTGAAAGAAGGTGTTTGTGCCTGGGCTGTAGTTTCTGGAACTGATTGTCAGAATTTGTAAGAAGCTTCTGACACACTGACAGTGTTTATGTGAGAGTAAGACTCCTTGGGCCAAGAATAGAAGGGCCCAGCCCCCCCCCCAAAGTACCGATTTGTTGGTGTCTGCAAGGTGCCAGATGCCAGTATGTGCCAGTGCTCTGTGTGAACAATAGGGATGCACAGAGCGGCCAAGGCGAGGCCAGCTGCGCTCAGCAGCCTTCTGAGTCAGGCAGGTGTTTAGTAACTACCAAGGAACAGCACCTGCTCACTAGATGAGACAGATGAAGGGCAATGAGGCAGGGTGATGGAGAGAGGAGACCAGGGCACGCGCTTTAAAGGGGAGGTAAAGCAAGAATGTTTACTTGAGTCCTTCATCCCTCCTCCTGAGCTGTGCTCCCAGAGAAGGAACAGATGACCTTGGAATAAAAAGATGAGTTGTAGTAAGTGTCATTTGTTTTCCACTCAGTCATCATTCAAAAAGCATTTTATGAGGGCTGCCAAGATGGCTCAGCAAACAAAGGCGACTGCTGGCAAACATGATGACCAGAGTTCGATTCCCAGGACCCACCTGGTAGAAGGAGAGAATTGGCCTCTGTGTTTCACATGGAAATGCATGTGCATGAGCCTGCACACACACACACACACACACACACACACACACACACACACACACAC